ATATACAGGGTGTCCCTGAAAGTGTGGACAATCTCTCGGATCCATGTAGAAGATGAAAAAATAAGTTGAGAAGTTCCTATGAAGTTTTTTCCTACAAGCCCTACCTACGAAGATATGTCTAAATTTTCAACACCCTGTATGAAAAAGACTTAAAGAACATAAATCTGGCAGAAGGTCCTCTCAATTGTCGATAAAATTAACCCAGATTTATGTTTTTTTGAGTCTTTATCATACAGAGTGTTAAAAATTTAGGCAATAAAGTGTAAGCTTAGCATTAAACATTAAAGACCTTAACCTTAAACATTAGCTAAATATGTTTTAAGGACACTGTTTTGTGAGGTCCTTACTAGTGTCCATCATATTAGATTTTTGTTAAATAATAGGTTCGTTTCTACAAAAGTTCACTGATTTGTTACCAATAAGTTTCTGACTTTTCTATTTCGCATGCGCGGTTTATGATTGAATGGTGTAATCAAATTTCCGATTTCTTGATGGAACAGTCTTAACATTTATTACATATTCACCAAGTATCAAACAAAAACAATAAACAACATAACCTAATAATTAACCTATGTTCGGAAATACAAATTAAACCCAAATTAAAAATGCGCTTGCGCCGGATTCTAAATCTCTGTACTATCAGCAAATTTTTCTGACTATCTGACAAAACCAGGCCCTTGAACTGTTGGAACAATAAATTGTTAACCAAGTCAGAATCAGAGATGTCTGTGGAGTTTGTTGAAACGCCTAAATTATGGACTGCGCAGACTCCTGACGACCACCGGCTATTTCTGACTGTTGTAGGAACAAACCTTATATATCAAATGCTTTAGAAAATATTTAAGGAAAACCAATTTCCATCGGTGCACTTCTAGAACTCATATCTTCGTAGGGAGGGTCTGTAGAGAAAAGCTTTATAGGAACTTCTGATCTTATTTTTTCATCTTCTACATGGATCCGAGAGATTTTATTCCACACGTTCAGGAACACCCTGTATACGTCGTGTCATAGGAGATTTTAAATTATGATTTATATTACGAGAAAATTGATTCGGTATCGAATTTCCAATTATACAGGATGCTCGTAACTTGGCCGATAATGCGTGTCGTCGTCAGTATCGCGTATCAACACCTGAGGGGCCGGGATATACATCTATGTACGTAATAAAAACTCATTATCAGTCCTAAATGTAGTTTGAGACGGTTCATATATCATATTAAGTATATCCAGACAGTTCCTTATACAGGGTATACCACGGTCGATGACAGGTTAGGCGTTTAGGGAAAACGGAGCGTACGATTGTCGTGAAAATTTGGTTATTTAGGTAATTGGTCCTGCTCTATCGATTTAAAATATTTTCAAAGCTGCGGCGTTGCCACTTCTATCGAAAAGTAGCAGCAACTTTGTTATTTTAAATGAGACACCCTGTATATTTTTACATTTTTTGCTCCGCTATTGCTTTCTGATTATTATTGTATAATACTTCCCTATACCTATCTTTAGCGCTTTTCGAGAAATTCATTATTTTATTTAATTTTTTATTCAAAACATAGCTCCATTTAAATGTTGATTACTGCGGTAATTAGATTAGGAGAAAGCTGAAATTTTGGGATTAGCTTAGAGATGCATTAGGTATTAGTTCGCTATAATCGATTTTTTTTGGTCAACTTTATCTAGGGACACACAAAATTTGAATTTAAGTTCGCAAATTTGTATTCAGGCTTTATTTTAGATTATAAACAACTTTCTTTTATAAACATTTTGTGTAAAATAAAAAATAATGGTACTTCTCTCTTGAGGTATTTTCATGTTTTCTTAATTTGGCCACACCCTGTAGATCCAATCCAAGATTTTTCAGTGTTATTCTCATTTTTAAAAGAAGCAAAAATTTTTATAAACAATAACTTTTTGTCGTAAAATGAATAATAAAAATTTTTCTCCTATAGGCAACCCCATCCGTGGACACACTGTATATCATATTAAGTATCCAGACAGTTCCTTATATACATTCAATTTTGATAATAAATTGAACTATTTGAATTAAACCAAAAAAATGGATGCGTATATATTATTCATGTTCGGTTTCACCAACGACAAATAAATCTATAAATAGTTATTTGATGAATAACTTTTAAACTCCAGTTAAATATTTTGACGTTTTACCAACACTTTTAATCTTTATAGTTAGCTATTTAACAGTTAAAACAAATATTTCTGGTAAACCAACCGTTAGAATTCAAATCTTTCCGAAAAAAGAAGATTTCGAATTGATTTAGTTTGACGTATGAATATTGTTATTTGATTATATTTGGAGTTTGAGAGTGATTTTGAGATGGATCGAAAAAGGGAAAGAAGCAAAAATTACTTAGATGAGGAGAAGGAAAATTTAATAACGATTCTTCTTTCTCAAACATTTCGAGGTCGTCTATAATGAAAATCTTCATCAGATGATATTGAAGATGATGATGAAGACGATGCTAAAAATCTAATAGATAAATAAATTTGAAATAACTTGAAAAGTAGATACATTATATTTGAAGGCTACAGGGGAAAAACGACAATAGTCCATTTTTTTGCAAAACTAAGAACACAGTTTATTATTATAGCATTTTGTAGTTACTATCAGATAATCGAATCGTTAAATGGTAAAAAATGTTCGCAAAACAACAGCTAAAATATACCTTTAATTTCAATTTCTAACGAATAGGTAAACTTATATTTTAATTTTTCTCGATAATCTTTTACATGGACTAATGTCGTTCTTCCCCTGTACCCTTCATTTGTATTATCTTTTATCTGTTATCTATTTTTCTCAAACAAACTAAAAATACAACCAATAAATTAAAATAAAAATTCGCAATCAGAAAAACACTTATTGGAGATTACAAATTAATATTATTTGAGGTTAGAAAACATCAAATAAAACTTTAACTATCCAAATTTCGTTGGTTCATTTATATGCCAATTTATTTTTATTTTAATTTTATTTTTATATGCCTTATTTGTCTTTGGTGCAACCGGACATGTGAATCTTATCTTATAACTCACAGTAACAGACATTTCGAGACAACCTGTATAAAATTAGTGTACCTATATCCATACACCGATATTTATAAGTAATTACAAAATTTTCGAGGTTTTTTTTTAGGAGGTGTCTTTCCTGCTTTCTGACGGGGACTTCCCTCATTGTCGCCGACACGCGGGGCTCTTTTTAAATTAAAAACTCCGCTGAGGTGTACATGTGTTTCGACGGTGGGCTTTTTTCTGTTAATATAGAGGTTGTACGCATTTGCGGCCTTACGATTCCGAAACACGGGTATTGAATATCAAAGCAAATTAGCGTTCGAGCTTCGACTGTGCCGCATCTGGTGCTCGCATCATAAAAGTGCCGACGGAAAAACGGAAAAGTTACGTTCTTATTATCTGTTTTTTTTTTTTTTTGGGTTAATAGTCCGCGAGGTGTTGCTTAAAAGTTATATTATTGTCAGAATGAAGAAAATTGTGAAGTGATTGAGGAGGGTAAAAACAGGGCCGGATTAACCATGTTTCAACCCCTAGGTATAGGTAATGCATGTCTCCAGGTATCTCTTTTAAATTCCCATGCAAAATATGTTTTTTTTTTCTGGATAGAGGGGGAGGCAGTTGCCTAATGGAAAATCCGGTTCTGGTAACAAATAGTGTTACAAGTGAAAAATAGGCTAAGAAGGGTAAGAAAGGATAAGAAAAGATCTTCTTCTTCGAGGTCAGTATAGGTCTATATACAGGGTGCTCCATAATGGCATGCAACTATTTGAGGGGGTGATTCTTGGGGCCATTTTTAAAATTTATTATTTTTTAATTTTAGTACAGCGGCTAAAATGTAGCGGTCACGTACAAATTAATGCATTTATTTTGTTTAATGCAAAACGGTGAGTCGTATGGAGAAAAGTTGTTCTAAATTTAATGAGGATTCCGAAAATAATTTTTATTTCAATATTAACCCGCAAAACCCGTAAGGACGCCACTGCTAAAAATAATAAAGTTATTTGTACATTAGAAAATGTATCTTGATTCATAGAAGACGTGTGCTTAATTTCATAAAGATATCTACACAGTTATTACAAAAAAATAATTTTTTTCTTTCAAAACTTTCAAAACAAACACCTTGTATCTCAAAAGTTAAGACATTTAGGAAATTGGTTCATATGAAGTTTTTTTGCTTAAAATATGTCCAGGAATCACCCCTTTAAATATTAGCATGTCATTTTAGAACACCCTGTAGAACAGGTTCTTTAGGAACCTATAGAACCTATAGGACCTCTTCTTGGCATATCAAGTTTTTGATATATCCATAAAAAAAGATAAAACGATAAAAAAGGTTAATAAACATATTTGTTTGGTATTTTTCTTTTTATATCCTCATTACTACTTCCCCTATTTTTAATGCCCAATTCCCCATAAATTATCGAGTAAAATTTTTGCGAACAATACTAAATGGATTTTTTGAAATGTATTTTATTTTTGTGGAAATCGCCGCGACTAAAGATAATTTCGGGAGGTGTGAACGCGACTAAATTGTTTTTGGAAGAGCGCCCTCGACCGAATGTCCGATGATGACTGCTTGATTTACTGTTTGTTTTGTTTGCCGAAGGATAAGAGGAAACAGAAGAGAATTAGTTTGTTTTCGGAGCGGAAAAATAAACGAATGTGAATTATTACCTACCTGGTTGTAAGTACAAACGGCTCTTCTGTTAGCAGGGGAAGTCTTTGGATACATTATCGCCTTTTTTGTTGAGATTTCTTATGCTAAATTTATATTTTTTTAACCTACTTTTTGATGTGGTAAAAAAAGTTGAAATAAATACATTCTAAAAGTACTGATAGAGGCGTTTATTTACAATCCATTTATAATATACAGTTCATAAATATCTAAAATCTATCATTTCTGGGCTATGTTACACTAAATTTTGCAGAGGAACGATTCCTACGCTGAGCTATATCAAAAAAAATTACACGTAAATGGTTAAGTGTGCAATCTCCCTATAGATTAAAGAATAAAATATATACAGTCTTATGGCACATATAAATACATCACCGTCGAATCGGTCCAAGGTAAATTCAACCAAGTAAAATGATTCAAACCCCGTTCCGATATCGACGCCCTGTACATTACATTCAAGAGCCCAAATTGTGGCCGTGATTGGCCAAATGGAAGTAGGGCGTATAACCGCCCGAGGTGGACGTTTGCAGAGGATAAACACCGCCGTAGGGCACGTGATGCCCATACAACAGTCCATTGTGAGCATGATGGAACCCAGGAAAAGACCCGCCGGAGCCGACGTTCGGCGGCGGCACCGTCGGCGAGTTCACGTCCATGCCGGGATTCTGTTTCTTCCACTTGGTCCGCCTGTTCTGGAACCAGATCTTCACCTGCGTCTCCGTCAGGCTGAGGCTGATGGCCAGGTTGAGGCGCTCGCACACGCTCAGGTACCTGGTGGTCTTGAACTTGTTCTCCAACGCCACCAGTTGCTCGTAGGTGAAGGCGGTGCGCGCCCGGCGCGGCTTCCCCGAATTCTGCGATTTGCTGTCGCCCTTTTTTTTCTTCGACGGGTCTTTGGCGTCCTCGCTGATGTCGCTGTGGAGGTCGTCGTCGTCCTCCGATTGGTGGTCTTTACCTGCAACAAAAACAACTCGCTTTTAACCTTTAATAGCTATACTAGAATTCCAACAGTTACGGTAGAATTCCAATAGTTACGGAAGAGTTGGTCGAAGATAAATGAAAGAAGATGAAGTTGTTAACAGGTTAATTTTCTATAAGAAACTCGCTAAATTTCGAATACAAAGAGGTATACATTTTGGACATCATCGTCCTCTGATTGGTGGTCTTTACCTGTAACAAACCACTCGCTTTTAATCTTTAATCGCAATACTAGAATCTCAACAATTACGGAACAATTGGTCGTAGATAAATGGAAGAAAATGAAATTGTTAACAGGTTAATTTCCTATAAGAAACTTGATAAATTTGGAATACAAAAAGGTATACATTTTGGACGTCATCGTCCTTCGTTTGGTGGTCTTTAACTGCAATAAACCGCTTGCTTTTAACCTTTAATCGCAATACTAGAATCCCAACAATAACGGAAGAGTTGGTCGTAGATAAATGGAAGAAGATGAAATTGTTAACAGATTAATTTTCTATAAAAAACTCTATAAAATTGGAGTACAAAAAGGTATACATTTTGGACGTCATTGTCCTCCGATTGGTGGTCTTTAACTGCAATAAACCGCTCGCTTTTAAACCTTTAATCGCAATACTAGAATTTCAACAGTTACGGAAGAGTTGTTTGTAGATAAATGGAAGAAAATGAAATTGTTAACAGGTTAATTTCCTATAAGAAACTCGCTAAATTTGGAATACAAAAAGGTATACATTTTGGACATCATCGTCCTCTGATTGGTGGTCTTTACCTGTAACAAACCACTCGCTTTTAATCTTTAATCCCAATACTAGAATTCCAACAGTTACGGAAGAGTTGGTCGTAGATAAATGGAAGAAAATGAAATTGTTAACAGGTTAATTTCCTATAAGAAACTCGATAAATTTGGAATACAAAAAGGTATACATTTTGGACATCATCGTCCTCTGATTGGTGGTCTTTACCTCTAACAAACCACTCGCTTTTAACCTTTAATCGCAATACTAAAATCCCAACAATTACGGAACAATTGGTCGTAGATAAATGGAAGAAAATGAAATTGTTAACAGGTTAATTTCCTATAAGAAACTTGATAAATTTGGAATACAAAAAGGTATACATTTTGGACGTCATCGTCCTTCGTTTGGTGGCCTTTAACTGCAATAAACCGCTTGCTTTTAACCTTTAATCGCAATACTAGAATTCCAACAATTACGGAAGAGTTGGTCGTAGATAAATGGAAGAAGATGAAATTGTTAACAGATTAATTTTCTATAAAAAAACTCTATAAAATTGGAGTACAAAAAGGTATACATTTTGGACGTCATTGTCCTCCGATTGGTGGTCTTTAACTGCAATAAACCGCTCGCTTTTAAACCTTTAATCGCAATACTAGAATTTCAACAGTTACGGAAGAGTTGTTTGTAGATAAATGGAAGAAAATGAAATTGTTAACAGGTTAATTTCCTATAAGAAACTCGCTAAATTTGGAATACAAAAAGGTATACATTTTGGACATCATCGTCCTCTGATTGGTGGTCTTTACCTGTAACAAACCACTCGCTTTTAATCTTTAATCCCAATACTAGAATTCCAACAGTTACGGAAGAGTTGGTCGTAGATAAATGGAAGAAAATGAAATTGTTAACAGGTTAATTTCCTATAAGAAACTCGATAAATTTGGAATACAAAAAGGTATACATTTTGGACATCATCGTCCTCTGATTGGTGGTCTTTACCTGTAACAAACCACTCGCTTTTAACCTTTAATCGCAATACTAAAATCCCAACAATGACGGAAGAGTTAATCGTAGATAAATGGAAGAAGATGTTAACAGGTGAATTATCTATAAAAACTCTATAAAAATGGAATACAAAAAGGTATACATTTTGGACGTCATTGTTCTTCGTTTGGTGGTCTTTAACTGCAATAAACCGCTCGCTTTTAACCTTTAATCGCAATACTAGAATCACAACAATAACGGAAGAGTTGGTCGTAGATAAATGGAAGAAGATGAAATTGTTAACAGGTGAATTTTCTATAAGAAATTCGATAAATTTGGAATACAAAAAGTTATAGATTTTGGACGTCATCGTCCTCCGATTGGTGGTCTTTACCTGTAGCAAACCACCTTTTAACCTTTAATGGCAATACTAGAATCTCAAAAATTACGAAAGAGTTAGTCGTAGATAAACGGAAGAAGATGAAATTGTTACTAGGTTAATTTTCTTTAAGAAACTTAACAAATTTGGAATACAAAAAGGTATACATTTTGGACGTCATCGTCCTCTGATTGGTGGTCATTACCTGCAACACACTATTCGCTTTTTAACCTTTCATCGCAATATTAGAATCCCAACAATTATGAAAGAATTGGTCGTAGATAAATGGAAGAAGATGAAATTGTTAAGAACCTTTAATCGCAATACTAGAATTCCAAAAATTACGGAAGAGTTAGTCCTAGATAAATGGAAGAAGATGAAATTGTTAACAGGTTAATTTTCTATAAGAAACTCGATAAATTTGTCCTCCTACTGGTGGTCATTACCTGTAACAAACCACTCGCTTTTAACCTTTTAACCTTAAATGGAAGAAGTTGAAATTGTTAACAGGTTAATTTCCTATAAGAAACTCAATAAATTTGAAATACAAAAAGGTATGCATTTTGGACGTCACCGTCCTCTTTACCTTCAACAAACCACTCGCTTTTAACCTTTAATCGCAATACTAGAATCCCAACAATTACGGAAGAGATGGTCGTAGATAAATGAAAGAAAATGAAATTGTTAATCGTCCTCTGATTGGTGGTCTTTACCTACGACAAACCAATAGCTTTTAACCTTTAATAGCAATACCTACTAGAGAATCCCAACAATTACGGAAGAGTTGATCATAGATAAATGAAAGAAAATGAAATTATTAACAGGTTAATTTCCTATAAGAAACCCGATAAATTTGAAATACAAAAACATATACATTTTCGTCATCGTTGACAGCAGAGTATATGGCGTATCAGCCAGTTGATATACCCGGAAGGAACGGAGGCGCGCTCCGGCCTCCGGCGGCGGCGTTTAATACTCGACAAATCCGGGGCTCAGTATGATTAAGCGCCGGTAATTCGAGAACATCGCCGTCGACCCCCCGCCTGCGTGAAATCAATACGAGTAACGAGCGACAAACGTGTTAACCGCATTCATTTGCCTGGCTCACCGCTAAAACAATGCGCTGCGGTGGCGCTACTGTCAGCCGTCACGCCGCCTCCGATTTATCGGGATTAAGCGTCGCGACGCCGACGGACTGATGTGGTTTCGTTTTTTTTATACCCCGTACAGATCGATTCCACAAATTTTACGAATCTATAATGAATTACTGGTGCACTCTAAAAAATTTTTGTGTAATTTTACCTGAAAGTTCAGGGCATCTTTAATGCCAGCAACTTTCAGGTAATTTTACAGTTAATGTTGAAAAATACATACGGAGTGGAAAGTCACATTTTTAATGTAAAAGCTGAATTACATATGTAATGTAAAATTACAATTCATACGTAAATTTACCAGTGAGATGTAAATTCTGAATACATACGAGGTGTAATAGTACAGAGTACGTGAAACTTCGTTTACATATGGAGTTTAAATTTACATATGAATTGAAAAACCGAATATGTAATTTCCCAAAAGCTCAAAAGCCGAATTTCCCAAAAATAGTGTGAAATTAACAAATGGTTGAAAAAATAGGATAAAGTTTACAAACTGCAAGCTTATATCCCAATTTCTGCGATCTAAATCAGAATATAGATGGGTAAAAAAATTTTAATGAAATGATTCAATAGTTGTAAAAGTATAAATGTAAAAATTATTAAATGAAGTGTACCTTTCATTAGTAAAATAAAATACATTATGTAAAATACAAATTTATTGAACAAAAATAAACGTATAACATAAGAACACAGGAACAAAAACTTAAAAAAATGGTAGGTAGGTACATACATATGTACTACAAATTTCTCTACTACAATTTCTCTCTCTATTCACTCTCTACAAATTTCTCTTAATTTCGTCATAAACGTAATAACTTTTTTTTTTGTTAAGCTTGGCTTCTGTGCCTTAGAGCCTTTATCGGGGTGGATTTTCATATGATACCTTTGTACCATTTCGTACGTGCATGAGGCTTCTTTAGGATATTCAACGTTTAAAATGAAAAATAATGCAAAAACCACTTGAAAGCCTTTTAAAAAAGTATTTGTCGACGTAAATTGTATTTTTTCAAAAAATACCAAATATTCTTCTCCTGAAACAATAAAATATTGATAAACATACTATATTATATACATATAATAAACATATACCTCTTTTAATTATAATCGGGTAATTATGGACTACGTTCTGGCTGTCGAAATCATCTTCACTCTAAAAAATTAAATTGGTTTATTAATTTATCCAGTGCTTAGTTATGAGTATAAGACAAACCTGATAAATAATCGCTGCAAAATCTTCTTTAAAATATTTCGCAAATACATTTACAGACTGTTCATGAATGTCGGAATATTCCGAATCGATTAATTTGTTCTTGATTCCGAAATTAACGAGTCTCATCGCCTTATTCTCGATGGAAGTTTCCAACTTCTGGATGTCTATGCCAAAATCATGATTTTGTATAACAAATTTACTGTTATTATCTTTAAAATCGTTAAAAACTGATGCTTGTATAGAACATCGGAGATGATTGAATTAACGCGGAAATCTACAAACGTTTGCTGCGGCATTGTTATCTTAAATCCTCCGCGAAGTTAATCTAACTTCAAATAAACAAGGCGGAATCCGGTCGGCGGAGCGCCGTTGCGAAATTAGTCCAAAAAGCGAGAAAGGGTTCGTGAGTCGCATAATCTCGATTTTCCCCTTCGAAATGTACACCTTTAAAGGAACGCGAATATTCCTCTCGCATCAGAGAGAATGGCGCGGAGGGATCGCGCGGGGCCGATTTCGTCTTCGCGGAGTTTCTCCGTCTAACTTCGTCTGCGGCGGTGTCTCGAGAATGGAAACAATGCAATCCTTGGAATAACGGAAGCGGGACATGTAATTAACAGCCTCAGTTTAATTGCCTCAGGGCTCGTTAGCAAGCCGTGAACTTTGTAATTAATCCTTTGGTTTCGCAGCTATTTCTCTAAGCAGATGTATTAATTATGAAAACGAACGCTCGCTTTGCTTTGCTTTGCCATTAGCGGTTCTTATATAAATGCCGAGCTCTAGTTTATTAAAATATTTGAACGCTCCGATGGTTTTCTAATTGAGCCTCTAATATACCCGGGAATTTTTTTTTTCGTATGGAAAATTAATAATCATTTTACGCCACGTTAATTTAGTTATTAATTAATTTTTAGGAACGTGTATACACGTCAGTTTCATAAATTGAAAGAGGTATTACTAAAATATTAATGAAATTTGGGTTAATTATTGAGCTGGTATTCAAAATAAAAAGAATACCTACAAGCATTTTTGATTTTTGCATTATAATCCATTGCCATTTACTTCATTTACAAATTACCGCCAAAATCTTTTACTTTATAAATGTATTGAACTGATGAAGAAGTTAGATTTGAGAAGAATATAATTGGTAAAAAGTTATATAAATAAAATTTTTAATATCTATCTACAATATGCAAACGGTATTATAATAGTTATCATTGTCTCTATCCAGATATGTTAATTTCATTCCTTTTGGATTTGGAGTGATTGATTTGACTAATCTAATTTATTTAAATGACCCCAAAAATATACTCAAATCCAAGAATATAGAAATCATGGGAAGTGTCCTGATGGTTATAAGTAACGTTAAAATCCATTTGATATGACAGGCGTGATGATTTACACCCGTACTTAGATCCAGAAAATGTATAAGCAACCTTCTATTACGGTTATATATTGGTTATATCTTCTTTTGTTGTCATCACATTTTCAACAATAATTTTAACATCAGTGTTATTTTAAGATAATATAAATACCTAAAGATAAGTTATTGTCAATTGAGTTTAAACTGTTATTAATATTGAAACATAACAAATTTATTTTGCATCAATTTTATCACTTTGAATAAGAGTATAATATTCTTATTTCATTGCATCTTCCGATGAAGGTATCAGTAAAACAAAAAGGAAGAATATGATCCATCTATAATGGTGCAATTGCAGATGAAATACAAACAGTTAAAAGGACTGCGATGAATAAGAAAAGAAATTAACAAGGAACTATTCATTAGAAGAAGGAAGAAGGTTATAGTAGTTAGTAGAAGATGGTGTATAAGAATAAATCTTCAGATAAGCAAGTAGGTAGGTATACAATTACTTTAAAAAATTGATCTGATTGTATTGTTATAAAAATATAGAATTATTTCAACAGAATGACTTTAGATATGTTTATTACTTTATTACTTTCATTATCGTTCTCTTTTACAACTTCTCCATCATTATGAGAATATATACACTGTGCTTCATTCGCGATTGCAATATGGGAATTTCTATGAGTTGAACAAAGATTAGTAAAATAAGAGTTGTCAGGGTGAAAAGTTGCAATGACATAATTACACTCTTTCTTTTTCCTCTAAAAGTGTCTAATTGAAGTTGTCTTTATTGCACCCACAGCCTATGTTGCAATGGAGCAATCTGCATAAGGAATTCATCATATAGATGCTTACCCGTATCGCTTCCTTCGTAATCAGTGGACCCCCTAGACCCCTCCATAGGCTTCCAACAGCAAAACCCATCACTATAAACAGTCTGTCGCCCGGTGAACTTATTCGGATCTAAAATATTCTCCACGGAAAACGCTAACCGTCTATTCGCTATAGGCACTACCGACGGACTCTGGTCCCTCGGACTCCTCGATCGGCTCCTATCACTACAAACACTTTTCGGACTCTTCGCCCCTTGGTCCTTGCAACTCGAACAATCACTGTGATTCGACCCGGCCTTGCCGAAGCCGTCGAAGCCGTCGAACGCCTCCTGGCGTCGCGTCAAATCGACGGGACACAGCCCGTCGTCGTCATCCTCATCGTCGTCCTCGTTCTCCACGTCCAGCACGTTGAGGTCCTCCTCGTCGTCGGAGCGCTCGCACATCTCGGCGTCCCGCGAATCGTCCACTTTCCTCTTGGCCTTCCGCCGGAACGCCTGCGGCTTGTCCTGGTCGTCCTGCTGGTGGAGCTGGCCGGCGTTGCTCGCGATTCTCTCCATCGTTAACATTGTCATTATTCTTGCAGGTGGCGCGACTACGTCTTCGACATCGCGTCTCGGTGATGCTGCCGGTGTGAGACGAGTCTCTATCTGTGGTGCTGGTCGAGTGGGATTCCCGGTCGGTGTTGGAGTTTGGAGTTCAGACGGAATGGCGTTGTTCGACGGCGTCGAGGCGGGGACGGGCGCCGGGCGATTGGCCGGCGGTGCTGAGTGAGCATTGGGCGGGAAGCGGCCGGAGGTGTGGCCTCGTTCGAAAGGGCGCACAGCGCTATTTGGCTGGCGATTATGAATATGATTTGTAATAAGGGAAAGAACGAGTGCCGGGAAATTAGCGGGCCGTGATTGCCGGGGAACGTTTGCGCGAGATCGTCGTGTATATACAAAAGGTTGTTACTGCAACAATTTAAATTTAGTAGTCGTGTAAATGGGCGGCCGGTTAATTAAGGACTTATTGTCGTGTTATTCGTTTTTAAGGGTCGCGATTTTCGTTGCTTATCGACTCGGTTTACTGTTATTGCTGTTTTAATATAAACTGTTAAAGGGGACGTTAAATTCTACTTTTATGCGAATTATGGTTTTATGTTTAAATAAAAGTTGATGCTTTCCTCAATTTAGTTAGTTAAATAGTATTAGATGAAACTTTTTCATAACAACATTTTTATATGACTTATTTGGTTCAATTTAATGTATAATGTATATAATTTAATAATAATTAACAAAATATTGTATACATATAGAATTATGAAATCTAAAATAATATACAGAGTGTTTCTGAAATAAGTGGTTAAACATTGGGAACAAGTAGAGAACCTCAAAATATGACAAAAAATTAAATGACATTCTATTGAAATGTCAAGTTTTTGAAGGAATTCATCTCTAGATTTTTAAAAATGAAAATTAGTTTAAAAATATGAATTTTAAAAGTCATTTTAAAGAAAACGGTCCACTTTAAAGACCATCTATCCACCGAAAAGATAACAAGTATACCTTTTTATGTAAAAAACTTCATTTTTTATATTCTTTAAACAAATCAATAGAAATGACTTACCTCACGAACCTCCCATTTTTACCCACACCTGGACAACTTTTTTAACCCGATTAAATAGTTCCAGATAACATTTCATTTGCTTAGTATGTGTATTAAATTTCATCATTTTACCTTTACTATTAATGAAATTATTAATAAAAATACCTCTTAAATTCAAGAATCCATCTTTAACACCCTGTATACCGATTATTTATATAACCTATGTAGGTATTAGCAATATTTGAAGATTTTTTTGGCGAAGTTCACTAAATTGATTTTTCAATTAAAAAATTCAAAAATAATCTAAAAGGAAATAAAGATCTAAATAGTCCCGAAAGCGCCGGGACATTTTTGGTTTTTTGAACCTCCCTACAATTTACCCTGGATAAAATTTTAAATAGTTCTGAAACAGTTCTAAATATTTCCGAAAGCGTTCTAAATGATGGTCCTATGGGACCTTTTCTAGTTTATCTTGGACCTGAATCAGTTCTAAATGATTTTTGACAGTCCTAATATAAATAGTTCTTATAGGATTGCTGTCTGAATGAATATCTGCTAATAAGGGGTCGAACAGTTCTAGAAAATCCTATAATTTATCACATGATTTGAAAAAATATCTGCCACATAAGTATCTACACTATTTTTATTAAGAATAGCAAAATAGCAAAGAATTTGAAAGGAATAGCCTGCATGATCCGACACTTGAAATCCACATTTTGATGATTACATCCCAAAAAAACTTCTTTTAAATTCATCTTACTTATCTCAAAAATTATTATGTGCAAATCATTAATTATCCATTAACCCACAAACAATTCTTTTATATTCTTATAGTGAAATTATAAACAGAAATCTCGACAAACATCCATCAATTTTCTTGGCACCTCCTGTATACACTAAAAGCCCTCCTTCGAAATAAAATAACGCGTCATGAGACGGACGAGGAATATACAGTGTGTCTACTTAAGTTCGCACCATATGGAAAACTTTTTTATTATTAATTTTACGAAAAAAAGTTATTATTCATAAAAAGTTCTGCATGTTTTAAAACTTAAAATACAATCATCAGATATCTAATTTTTTCAGTCGTATACGAGGTTTGTCAGAAAATATGAATTTTGCTCAAAAGTAAAGTAAATCTATTTTTGAAAATATTGGAAATTGTTATCTGTTATCTCTTTATTCGTTAAAAATTTGATTACATTTACATCTCTTAACCTCTATGTTGCATTAGTTTGATTATGCATTGAAAAAAATGATAACAAAATAATTTATTTTACAATAATTATCGACTACATAAAAACATTGCTAGGTGTTGATAGTTGAAAGAAGAAAAATAGATTACTTACTTATAATTGGATGTAATTACATATTTGAACGTAATTTTTAGTCCTGATCAACTTTTCTTAATAACAATTTCCGATATTTTCAAAAATAAAGGTACATTACTCTTGAGCAAAAAACACATTTTTTTGACAAACCTCGTATACGGATTAAAAAAAAATTTATCTGATGGTTGTATTTTAGGTTATAAAACATACAAAACTTTTTATGAAGAATAACTTTTTTCGTAAAATTAATAATAAAAAAAGTTTTCCATATGGTGCGAACTTAAGTAGACACACTGTATAAAAAAAAAATCTCAGGGCGCGAACCGCACCAAATGATCCGTCCGTGTATATACATCGACGTCCCGACGGCCCCCCCGGCGCAATTTCGATCTCTATCCGCAATCTCTCGCAAACCGGCGATCCTCTAAGTAGCAGATGTGTCAATTTCATTTCAATCAGGACATAATAGGGGCCGTAATGGAATCAGCCTTTGGTCTATTTGCTAACACTCTAGTGCGGTCCACTCTTCCTCTATACACTCTCTTAGTGCGTACACGGCGCGTGGAGGTATTCCCATAGGCGTAGCACCATCGAAGAATACTTTTATTATTTCGTTAACTTCATTGTTAAAAGTATTATCTTCACTTATATGGTTTTTTACATATTCTTCATATCTATATCGAATGATCTTTTTGGTATCAAAGTACAATTGGTTGCAACAAAGACAATTTCCATTAGTCTCGATTGCAACGATCATCTTGCAAACAAATATGTACTTATCTGTATAAAATAAAAGTGCAGGAATCGCCTTATACAGTGTGTCCACGGATTGGGTTGCCTATAGGAGACAAATTTTTATTATTCATTTTACGACAAAAAGTCATTGTTTATAAAAATTTTTGCTTCTTTTAAAAATGAGAATAACACTGAAAAATCTTAGATTGGATCTACAGGGTGTTGTCAATTTAAGAAAATATGAAAATACCTCAAGAGGGAAGTACCATTATTTTTTATTTTACACAAAATTTTTATAAAAGAAAGTTGTTTATAATCTAAAATAAAGGCTGAATACAAATTTTCAAATTAAAATTCCAATTTTATGTGTCCACGGATGGAGTTGACCAGAGGAGAAAATGATTATTAATTTTACGAAAAAAAAGTAATTCTTTATAAAAAAGAGCATTAAAAGAGAGATTAAAAGCATTTTTTTGTAAATAATAATGTAAGATAATAAATAAATTCTTTCTTTATGTAAGATAATAAAATTTCTTTCGTTCTTTCTTGAAATTTTTTCCTGTTTCTTAATTTACTAACACCCTATACGTCTTATTTAATGTTTTGATATGTGAATTTCATAATTCGTAAAATTAATAATAACCATTTTTCTTATCTGGTCAACTTTATCTAGGAACACACAAAATTTGAATTTAAGTTTGCAAATTTGTATTCAGGCTTTATTTTAGATTATAAACAACTTTCTTTTATAAACATTTTGTTTAAAATAAAAAATAATGGTACTTCTCTCTTGAGGTATTTTCATGTTTTCATAATTTGGCAACACCCTGTAGATCCAATCTAATATTTTTCAGTGTTATTCTCATTTTTAAAAGAAGCGAAAATTTTTATAAACAATGACTTTTTGTCGTAAAATGAATAATAAAAATTTTTCTCCTATAGGCAACCCCATCCGTGAACACACTGTATGTTAAGAATTTGGCAACATTGCAATTGTTTAATTGATCGATTTGTCTATTTCGATTATAATCGCGCTTCAAAAACGATGTTCTCCTCTCCACCAATGTTCTCATCTCTTTGTATGGCGAGTTCCCCCCCGACCTCTTTGGAGAATCATCGATTCGAGTTTAAACCCTACGGTTAACTAAAGGCTCGTTTTCACTCCGATTTGCCTTAGTTTCGCTTTGTTTGCATTGGCTGTAATGGCGCAGATAGCCTAATCAATGATTCAGTGTCCCCGGAATAAATTATCGACGATTATATAATAAGAAAGAACCGAATCGATAGAGGCCGGCACGTTCACCGGATTTGGTGCCGTTTGATTTATTCCGCAAACTGTTGTATAAAATACCTAGCAACAAACGCTATTAAATCAACGGTAAAATTCCAATCAAAATTCAATCGTACAAATCGAATTAGGAAGAAGCGAGTCGAAAAATAAACGGGGGTAAATTTCAACACCATTTCGTTGATGCCGAATTAAAAATATAAAGCGAATCGTTTAAATGGCAGCGCAATTGACGAAATATCGGCGGCGGACGGATAGAGGAAATCAATCAGTGCCAATAAAAGGTTTCCAGTGATATAGTCAAAAAAGCAATTAACTGTAACGGATACCCGTTTAACTTGGTGTTTGGGGCACCTGCAAGAGCCGGGCCCCTCTCTATAAGCGAGTTTGAATTGAAATTACCAACAAGAATGTAGATTGATACAGGTTTATTCATCAATCACTTCATCACAAATGATATAAAATTTATTTTTTTTAGTATAGCAGGTCTATCACTTTGCAGTAAGCGTTTTAAATTAGCAATACATTAGGTCGTATTTATAAAAAGAAGCATAACCTTTTGCTTTAAAAAATGAAAAAAATGCTTCAAGATAAATGCATAAAAAGAAGAGAAGGAAGAGTGGTTTTGCTTCGAGGATCCTGCTGTTGCTTTAAAGCAAAAGGTTTTATGGTTTTAAAACCTTTTTATCTTATCTTTTCCTTCTACCTTTTACTTTGTTAGACTTTATTTGATATACCGTGTTGGAAAATTTTTCGCGCATAATAGGGAAATCAATGTTAAATTCTTAGCCGGCTAAAATCCAATCTACCAGTGTACATTTCAATAGAACGTCGCGATCAATTCTAATAAATTTAATTGTTCTACTGGACCGCACGCCGCGATTTGTAGAGGTACAAAGTTATTTGTGTTAGGTATGAGGTACAAAATTATTTAGAAACTACAATTAATAGGTTTTTTGGGGATATTTCAAAAAAATGTGTGTATCGGTAGGTACAGTTTTGAAATAGCAACAAATCTTGTTAAAATAAGGAAAAATAAGGAAAAAAAAAATTCAATTTTCTTAAAATTACACCTCAGCTCAGTAATATGAGATGACATCTGTATGACATGTTTGGCTATTGTTTAGCAGAAAGCGGTGGACTATTTTTTAGAGTTCTTTTATTTTCTATTTTAAAATAATCTTTAAGTTTATTTTTGGAGTATTCTTTTTATTATTTTCTTAGAATTTACTTTCTTTTTCAAGCCATTGTGGCAAAAAGACATATCTACATAATTCTATTTTATTATTAGTGATATTTTTTCAATAAATTATCGTTTAAAAATTCTCAATTCTTTGTAATCGACTCGACGTTCACCCATCCCAACCCGTTTTGATACTGTCGAAGTGTCGAAACCGTCGAAATTATTTGATTTTTAATCTAACCAAGCCAAAGCGCGGTGCGAAGTCCAGTAGAACAATTAAATTTATTAGAATTGATCGCGACGTTCTATTGAAATGTACACTGGTATACTGGATTTCAGCCGGCTAATAATTTAACATTGATTTCCCTATTATGCGCGAAAAATTTTCCAACACGGTATAGAACTTTATATAGAGCTTTTAAATTACAACTCGTTAAACTGCAACGGCAGAAAGAAAAGAAACATCAACAAAACAAAACTAAACAAAAACAAGAAGTTGCCAGACACATCATCTGTCAACTGTCATACACAAAGTGGTCTTTTACTGACCGGTAAACAAATAAATGTATTAGTTGAAGTTGAATATCCAATAAGTAAATGCTTCATTTTTATAAATATGGGTTATATTGACTAGGTTGAAAACTCGAGTAATTTTCCAATTAATTTTCTTCCTATATTGCTCGACCAAATGTTATTTATACAGTGTATTGCATGGAGGCATGTCAGACAGGATGTAAAACTGACTATCCAATTTGTAAGAGACAAATTAGCTTTTCGAGAGTGTAAAAACAGATTACCTACATTAGTTGGTTGCACTGAAGATATTTGTCAGTCGGGTGCGAAGGATATATTATATGTATGTTTATAACTAACACGTGTACAGAGGTAAGTAATATAAGGAGTATACAGGGCTTTTCAAGGAAACCGTTCAGTATAGAAGTTATATTAGGAGATCCTGAAGAGTTTGAAATTTGAAAATTTAGGAGTAAAGGATAATCGATGTTGTGAGTTTTTCTGAAATATTTTCAATTATATGTGACTTCTGGTGGTACCGGAAGTAGATGTCAACTTCGTTATTTCAAATGTTAAGTACCATTTTTGACTTCATTTTTGGATTCTTTGGCACTTTTTAAATAGAACTGTGATAATAAAACCATATGCCAAAAATGCGCCACTTTTGAGTTATTTAATTTTTTTCGAAATTTTTTGGAAAAACGGTTGAATGCATTTTCTATGATATCTCTGGTAATAATGCACCTATAAGTTTGAAATTTGGTATCGATAATATCCAGACACAGTACTAAAAGAAACTAAACTGAGTTTTCATGGTTTATTTACAGGTCGTTTAAAATTGTCTGACTAACTTAAAGTTGCCATAACTTTGTTATTTCAAATAGATCACCCTGTATTATTTAGGCATTATTGATATCAAATTTCAAACTTCTAGGTGCATTATTAACAAAAATATAAAAAAAAACATTCGACCGTTTTTCCAAAAAATTTTGAAAATAATAAAATAACTTAAAAATGGTACATTTTTGGCATAATTGCTGTTGTCAAAGTCTGGTTAAAAAGAGCCTAATAATACAAAAATGAAGTCAAAAATGGTACTTTTCATTTGAAATAACGAAGTTGACATCTACATCCGATATAACAGGATGTCACATATGGTTGAAAATATTTTATGAAAACTTAATTATCCTTTACTCCTAAATTTTCAGATTTCCAACCTTCAGGATCTCCTATAACTTCTAATGGACGGTTTCCTTGAAAAGCCCTGTAGGTTGTATAAAAATTTCAATGAGAAATTAAATTATTTTTTATTAAAATTACCACGTGCACCAGGAGGTGAGAAACAGCAATTATAATATTGTTGTAATTCTGATTGGTTTCGATTATTGATTGATGGATTAATTTCATTGTCGTGTTGTTATTGAAAACTTTCAGATGTGGAGTATAGTGTAAAATTGATCGGTTTTTTTATTTGACTTTATTGATTTCTTTATCTTGTTTTAATGGTATCCGGTCGGAGGTTTTCGGTTGTATTTATTTTATATTCTATACCACAGATGTGTGTTCGTTCCGGATTTACAATTGTATTAACACCTGTTTGAGATGAACAGGCGTATATGGAAAATTTGTCAATTCTCTGGATTATTCTTGTATTTATACAGGGTGTTTTTAAAATATGTAGTCAAACTTTGGGAGCAAGTGGAGAAACTCAAAATATGAAAAAAGTTAAAT